AAAGAAGTGAACTTCCTGTTGCTAAAAATTTTCAAATATAAACTTGGTGCTTCCAGAAAGATATGATGGAATAAATGGAATAAGGGGAAGTTAGGTCTCTAAGGTCTTAACTCTATTCCACTTTATCACTGAACATACTCATCACAGTGCTTAGGCCAGAGTGATTTCTGTTATTTGAATTTCTTTACTGGAACCTTTCTCTAACACCCACAGCGTATCTACTCCTTATCCACCTTTATCTGAATTTGCTTGTGTTTGGCCCTACTCTAAGTCCTTTCTGTTTTAGTTTTAACACAAGAGTTACCTAGTTCTATGCTCTGGTGTCAGACTGCTTGGATTTGAATCCTAATTTCACATTGCCCAGCTGTTTGAATTCTGGAAGGTTACCTAGGCTGATTAAGTCTCATTTTCTTTATCTGTTAAAAGCAGATGACAAAAGTACCTCTCACAAATGGAGGTTCTAAATTTTAAATGATGGTAATCCACATAAAGTGATTAGTAAAATGCTTGGCCATGGTAAGGACCTCGTAAACGTTGGTTATATTTTCACTTAAGGAGTATCAATTTTTTTTTTAACTTCTAACAACACTTGAACTCCAAATTTTACAAAGAATTTCAAGTATATGTACACTTTACCTAGCTGACTAGATATGGTTCTTCATCTGTAAAGCAGGTTTTTGTATATTTAATTTTATTTTCTTGTTAATGTTGTTTAGTCAGAGATGAAGTCTTATAAGCCACTGTATCAGTAATAATGAACAATAGATGTTTTCATTCTTAGCAGAATATTGACAGGATTTAAATTGGCAGTTCATTGGAGTCCCTCAGAACTTAGAGAAATTTAAAAAATAAAATACCAAAGACCTCCCACCTACCCCCACCAGCACATCCCACCTCAGTCTGAAGAAAATGATGATGAGAACAAAGGTGTTTATTTGGGGTATAAACTATCTTTTATTGAGCTGTGAGATGTTTATGAAGACCCAAAAGAAGTGACACACCCAGAATGGTTTATGAGTAGGATAGTTCGTAACCCTGGTATGGAAAAGGCCATTTCTTGAACTCACAGAAGAATGTCTTTAAAATTTCATTCCTAAAAAAAAAAAAAATACAAGCTGATATGGATAAGAAAGTGGGAGACTTTGTGGTAACCTTTGTTTCTTTGGGGTATTTTCTGGTTTATGGTCCAGTGTCATTTCTAAATACTTAAATACAGTGCATTACTGAAATACAGTACATTATTCAGAACTGAGGGTACCTACATTTACTATAAATATTTATCTTGCATATACTGTGCACATATGCAGTTTTCAATAGCTTCAAATATGCTGGAAATTTCTGATGGGCCCCATCTTTGGTGAACACCCTGCTGTGGGCTGCATGTGTGGTAATACAATTCCAGACACTCTTTAGTTCCAGCTCTGGCAGAGACCTTCTCACCATGGTTGATGATGTATGAGGGAATCATGCCTAATATGTGTTCCTTTTGCCTCTGGGTGCTGCGGTAACATAGATTCCTGGCAAGTAAATAGAGCCTAGTTTAAAGACCATTTCAACTAGGCGGTTAAGGAAACGAACTCATTTTCATCTTTGGTCAGTGTTGAGTGACGTCAGTATTTCCCATAGTCTTTGTTCTCTGGATTCTTGAGGTGTAGGAAACAGCTACATTAGAAACACATCTGGAAGGCTGGCCTACTTGAAATCTGTTAACAGTCTAAGGTTCACATTCAGAATTTAGAGTTCTGATTTAAATGCCCTCTGACCTTACTTCTAACATTTGCAAAAGACACCCTAGGCTTTAACATCCTTTTTTGTCTTCTGTATTTTGGCTGCTTACTATATTAGATTGTTCACATGAAAGCATCAATTGGATATTTCATCTCCTTTCCCTCCTACCATGGTGACTTACATAAAGAAAACAAGCAAAAAGGTGGTACAAGAATATTTAATGGTAAAGTCAGATTCCACAGAAACAAAGGTAGAAGAAAGGAACCTAGTTGCTTCACTTTTAACACACATGTTTTCCGTAGACGGCTGGTTTTCTTCAGTTTTTGTAATTACAATTTCAGGCAGCATCCCTCCGCTTCAGGCTGGTTATCTCATTTGTGGGTTACCCATTTCCTGTGCATTTCCTTCCTCCCGCCCACCTCTTGGCCACATTAGCATTACTTCATGTCACAATCGATACCGCAGGTGGCCGCAGCAGGTTTTGAAAGGAAAATGGAATAAAAACCTGTCAAGGTTGCTTTGTGTTAAATTAAAATATTTGGTGAGGAGAGGCCCAAACTCTTGGCCAGAAGGAGGCTTCTGAAAAACGGAGGCATTTCACACATCTACACTATTTTTTAAATCAATCTTTGTTAACCAAGTGTTAGCTGGCTGTGTATCTTAGAAGTCAGAGCAGTACACATACTGGAAATAAGGTTGAGAATATGCCCTCATTTATGGGGTATCATTAGCCAGTATTTCTGAAGTCCTAGGTGAGACTTACTTAGTTTACTGCATGGTCTTCGAGGGACATACAGTCAGGGAGATAAAATTCATACCCAAGATTCAACAGTCAACAACAGTTCAGCAGAATTTACTGGGTCAGTGTTGGTTTGCATAGAACAGAGAGAGACAGAGGGAGAGGCACACAGTGAGAGAAAGTGTGTGTGTGTGTGTGTGTGTGTGTGTGTGTGTGTGTGTGTGTGTATTTCTAAGTTCAGAGAAGGGAAAAAGCCAAGTAGGCTGAAAAAGGCTATGTGTTAAGACATAGGTCCAGAGCTGGCCTCCAAAAACTGAAGGCACAAGGAAGCGAGAATTCGGATTAGTAGAATAGAATAGTAGAGTGTGAGTGTGTACAGGGCCTCACATGCCAGAAAGAAGTCAGGAAGGTGGGGGAAAAGATACAAATGTTCCTAACAATGTAAGAGCCCCTATTCTCTACGAAATTGATGTCGTCTGTCATGAAAACATGGGTGCACCCTTTCTTAGAATGAATCCTTGAAACTACTCAAATGTATTTATAATACTCAACAAAAGACAGTCTCATTTGGGGAATAATGAAAATTATTTAGCAAATTTATTTAGATTTGGAAAGAAACCTAAGTTTCTGCTGAGGATGTAGTTCGAATAAAAGCCGAATTGTGCCCTACAATGCCCTGAATGATCTGTCCATGCCTCCACTTCTAACTTTCTGCCTTCTGTGCCATTCTCTCCCTGTTCACTAAGCTCCAGCAATACTCATTCTCTTTCTCTTTCTTTGACATGTTAAACTCTTTCCTGCCTTACCATCTCTGCATTTTCTGTGTACTCTACCAAGACATGTGTCCCTAGGTTCTTGGGCAGACCAGCTCCTTCTCACATTTTATGTTTGCAGAGACTGGAGATTTTTTCCTGACCATCTCATCTAAAGTGGCATACTCACAGCCCTGAGCATTCACCATCGTATCACACTATTTAAAACACAAGGAGACTTTAAAACGCAGGGAGCTCTCTGAATGACCTTGTTATTTGGTGGTTTATCTTCTGTGTTTTACCTTTAGGACAGGGACCTCATCTGCCTTATGCACAGCTGTACCCTAGCATATAAATTCAAAGCAGGTAACTGAAGAACACATACTTTCTAATTTCTTAATTATAGTAGGCACTCAATGAAGTATGTGTTAAGTGAATCAATGGCAGTGAGGCCTCCATTATATTTAGGGCATATTAAGCTTCTATTCCCCATTCCCAATATGCTGAACTATTTGTTACAAAGCAGGAAGAAAGTTGTGAATGGAGAAAGACCTGGGGTGGCCTGTGTTGCTATGGAATTATGTAGCAGCACATCTCTCCTCTTTTGTTCCTCTCCCGAGTCTTAAGAACCTAGAAAACAACATCACAGGAGGGATATTTCAAAGACATGGACTTTAAAGGGACAATCGTATGGGTTAGATGAATGCTAGTAAATTATATCAGGAAAAGGTACTGGCTTCATTTGTTGTTCAGTATGTTTGTATGGTCATAGCCATTGCAGAATGAAATTACTACACATAATAAGCTTCGGTTCCATGTTTTACAGCCTGCCTTTTGAAGCCTTCACACACATTGTCCTGTGTAGGGCACCTTTCTGGACTTGGCACTATTCTTTCCCTTCTCAAAGAAATAGTGCTGGATGAATCTGTCTACTGCCTACAAATTATAGTAGAATAGCCATTGTTAATTTAGTGAAAGAAGTGTGGAGGACCTGTTATTTTTTCTCGCCCATGGGTTTTTCACAGGAGCACACGTCTGGCTGCTGTACAGAAGCTGCCTGAGTGGTTCCGTTTGTAGCTGGATTGGCTTCCAGGCGCTTGGTTAAGAAATTATAAAGTATATCTTCTTCAGTTACCTGGTTTGGATTTATAAATGAAATGCTATGATGCCTATTTGTGTGTCATTAAAACATGTTAACAATAGAATGATACATCATTTTTCTGCTGTTGAGATACAATTTGCCTATTTTATGCTTTTCCAAAAGATTTATGGTATCAGAGCTGGTGGCGGGGAAATTTCTATTTCACTTGCTTTTCCCACGTTTTTTCTTCCTGTCTTCCCTGTTCATGCTGGAGATCTTTGTTTCTACTCTAGTTGACAATGTACCAAATTAACAGCAATTTGGTACATTGTCTACTTTATTTAATGCATTATCTTAAGAAGTAGAGCCAGTCATGATGGCTCACGCCTGTAATCACAGCACTTTTGGAGGCTGAGGTGGGAGGATTGCTTGAGGCCAGGAGTTCAACAGACTGGATAACAAAGCGAAACCTTGGATCTGCAAAAAATTTAAAAATTTGCTGAGTATGGTGGTATGCACTTGTAGTCATGCTGAGGCAGGAGGATCCCGTAAGCCCAGGAGTTTGAGGTTACAGTAAGCTGATCACACTACTACACTCCAGCGTGGGCCGTAGAGAAAACAAAAAAGAAAAGAAAGAAATACGTAATTCTTCAATGCCCTCACTATTTAGTAATCTTGCAGCGTGTTCTTCTTCTTTCAGCACTGCAGTGACAATACACATCCTTGCCAGTCTGACATGAATATCGAAGGAGCCTGGAAGAGAGGCTACACGGGAAAGAACATTGTGGTCACTATTCTGGATGATGGAATTGAGAGAACCCATCCAGATCTGATGCAAAACTACGTGAGTGTATGCTGTAGTTAGAAGGTCTCTTTTTCTGGGATACAGGGAAACTCATGTTAGGATTATCAATAAGGTGGATAGCTACTGAAAAAACATAGCACCATACAATAGGGTATTATGTTTTGCTTCTCTCTGGTAAAGGTGAGTTCTTTGAATACAGGAAGCATGAGAACCCTTTCAACTTTCCAGTGCCTTTGATGTTCTGACTTACAAAAAGAAAGCAATAAGGTAGCAGAAACCCTACCACCAGCACCATCTGCTGCCAGCAACATTTGCTGTTCTCAGCAATTTATCCAACCAGCCAGGCAATACTCTTTGTTGCTTTTATGGAGAAAAGTGTACTTAGAACTTTGGTCTTTTTCTCTCTGTGCCTGTTCTTTTTTTTTTCAAGGACAGTAATGATCAGCCTCCCAGGAGTCTGCAGGAATCAGTTCCTTTCTTAAGAAGAAATCACAAACTCATTTAGTTCTCATTTGACCAAAACGGTTGAGTTGCTGCATCCAAGTGCACTCAGATAAACTTATGTCTCTTTACAGAATAGAATTCTAAAGCTAAAAAGAAACTTCAGGTTAGTCTCCTCATTTGATAGGAGAATAAACTGTAGCCTAAAGACTGAAGTGAGTTATCCATGGTTAGACGGAAGAACGGAAACTATGGCTGCCTGTCGCCCAGCAGAGATGTCTTTCTTTTCACACACGAAGAGGGTTTTATAGCATGCCGTTGCTCTGCACTGCATACAAATGTATTTGACTAAATACAAATAGCATTCATGTAATTGCGAGTGCAGTCTTTTATCTTTTTCATTGTTCTCCACTTGAGAAAAAGTTCTCCAGAATGGTCTGTGCAATTGGCATGATTGGTGCCCTTTCGGTTCTTCTTATGTTGGACCTGGTGGGGAGTAGAGCAAGTGCGTTGGGTAAGGTGAGACTTGGGTTCCTTCCAGTCTTGATTTGTTTCACCATTTTTAAAGGCAAACAAGCAAATCCAACTTTGGTTCCGGAGATACTGTTTCCTCATTTTGAAATACCCTAGGAAAACTTTGTTCCTCATTTTGGTTGGTCCTCTGTTTCAGGCCTCTTTTTCCTTATCAGTAGAATGAGTAAGATACATTAGACATAAGGACACTAAGCGGGTCTGCAGAGCCTCTTTGGCACAGGAAACAGGAACTTACCCCTGTATATACAGTGTATATTTTGCTTAATTTCCCTAAATATTTCGGGCTTTATGTACTAAAGGTTATTTTCAGAAAGAAGAGTCTCTGATAAAGACAGAAAATCAAGATAGTGTCTACTTTCACTGACATGGAAATCAGGAGTAATAATAAAGTATAAGAATATTCAGGCTAGGTGCAGTGTTTCATGCCTATAATTCTAGCACTTTGCGAGGCTGAGGCAGGAGGATTGCGAGAGCTCAGTAGTTTGAGAACAGCTTGGAAAACAGTGAGACTTCATCTTTACTAAAAGCAAAAAAATGAGGGTGGGGCGGGGGGGGGGGGGAGAGAGAGAGAGAGAGAGTGTGCAAGCCAGCCACTCAACAGACCACTGGAACTGAAAATAAGCCAGATTATACTCCAGAGAAGGGATGTCAATAACACCACATTATTCTAGGCTAGAAGAAGGAAGCAGCCCATTTTTCATTTGATATTAAGTTACAAGGTACCATTTTACCCTGTACCTATATTCCTATACTATTTATCTATATGTTTCTTACAGCCAACTAACCTAAATAGAAAGAAACTTCTGCCAAATTATTCTAGTAACCCCATGTGTTTGTGGTCTTAATCTCTTTATGCCCTCTGAGCACTTCTTTTCTCTCCTTATACTCATGTTTCTTTCCTAGGAAATTTAACTGAAAAAGACTTAGGGCAGAAATTATGCCCATGCTTGAAGTAAGCATTTATTAAATTAATTCTGGTACTCAAATAACCAGAATTGCTATAAAAATGTTCCACTGCACTAAAATGAATGCCCCTCAGGATTTCTAACGAAATTATGAAAAATAGCTCTAACTGAATTATTAAAATGCCAAAATAATTAATTTTTTTAAAAGAAGTAAAACAATTAGCTGGGCATGGTGGCACCTGCCTGTAGTTCCACCTATTCCAGAGCTGAGGCAGGAAGATTGCTTGAGCATGGGAGATCAGGGGTGCAGTGAGCCAGACGGCGACCACACCACTGCACTCCAGCCTGGGTGACAGAGGAAGACCCTGTTTCAATCAATCAATCAAAGAAAATTCAAAGCATGCTAAATTAGGCTAGCTACAGTGATATAAATTTGATCGGTGGTAACAGTCTAGTAATTTTTTTTCAGTAATTTGGATATTTTTCACAATCATTTTTAAAAGCAAATAAGCAAATCCAACTTTGGATTCGGAGATAGTATTTCCTCATTTTGAAATCTTAGTGTAGGAAAACTGTTTATCATTTTGGTTAGTCCAAAAGCCAATGGGTGTTAGTAGAATATTTAAATCATGGAGGCCTTTATAATAGATACAATATCTGAAACCAGACCAGTGTTTTCTAATAGAGGTCCTAAAGTACCTGACATAATGAAGATCTAATATTGATTTTTAATTGGCTTGCCAATGATATGTGAATGATTTTTGTCTTCTGAAATCTATATTATGATAAGGAAGTTGCAAACTCAAGAAATCAATTAAGGAGTAGGGAGAGAGTCTATGGAGAATAAATCACTTTGTGCCTAGGTAGTCAAGGAGTACCTCAGAGAAAAGGTGGTAGAGGATGTCTTCGAAAGATGCACATTTCATGAACTGGGTCATTCTAGCTGTGAGGGGGAAAAAGTGCTGACAAGAATGAACGAGGCAATTCTGTGGTCTGTGTGGAGTTCTTCTTCACCTTAAGGGGGAAAAATACAGCAGTAATTATTACTGAACAAGCACTCCCCGCCTAAGGCATCCTGACACCACCAAACTGTGAGCATATTAGTTAACCTAATTACTTTCCTGCAGAAATGTATTTAAAAATGCATGAGCCTGTGGGTCAATGGCTAATTAATGAATGACCATTTCCTTTCTCTTGCTCTCTCCTCTGTGGCCATAGGATGCTCTGGCAAGTTGCGACGTGAATGGAAATGACTTGGACCCAATGCCTCGTTATGATGCAAGCAACGAGAACAAGTAAGGCCCCAGTGAGGGGTGGCTGGCATGTGGCTGGCAAGGAGTTTTGTTTTCTGCTCATGCTGAGGGAAGTATTTTCTTCAAAATCCTTGATAATATATGATTCTTAATTTGCTCCAAGATAAACAAGTGCCTTTCAACTGAAGCCTCTGAGTAAGAGAAAAAGGGTGGTCTGTATAGACAGAATGATTACAGATTGAGCCCTGGGGAGTGGCTCCTGTTACCAAATCTTGAGACTGGAACTAAGAGATGACCCCTCACCTGGTAATTGCCCTGTGCCCATTTGTTTAGGGATGGGGTGGTGAAGGGAGAAGCCAAGCAAAGTACCTCCCAAAAGAATTACTTTGTTCTGTTAAATTCAACACTTGATTGAATACTGCGTTTGAGGTTCCTACCCAGGCCTTTCTTTCTTTTACTTCTCCTTTGTTCCTCTCTACTCTGTAGTCATTGTGTTTTCCACTGGTATATCTGAAATACTTAGGAGATTATTGCCAATTGCAGAAGGCATTACTTTTCTTATTCCCCGCCCGCCCCAGGTAAGAGGCACAGAAACCCAGTTAACCACAATTACACTTTCCGGTTAGTACGTGGTTTTTAGTGAATGCAAATCAACATTCACAACCATTTGATAACATAGAATATTTTAATATTTCTCAGGCAAGTAAGAGAGAATGGCTTTTCTTGCTTACATAAAGACCCAGATTCCTTATAATATTAATAGATATTTCTAATCTCTAAATCACATTAATTTTTTCCCCTTTTACTCTGAAGCTCCTCAGGATAATGCTATAATTTAGATACTTGCATTTGAATTTTTATTTACATACTTTATTTACATTACATGCATAGAAGTTGCAAATAGAACTGTTTAGCTCATTTATTTTGTTATTTCCAATATGCTCTTTTCTTTAGGGAAACATTTCTCAACTAGGATTATTTGATTAAGTCTGTCAGTAAGTTTAGATAAAAGAATATAACCTAGAAAATTGTCACTGTACCTATGTGGTTTTTCTTCAAGGCCTACGAAGAAAGCGTAACAAAACAACTGTAGAAACGTGCTGTTTGGTGACAGGAGCAACCAAGTAAATCATCGAAATCAGATTCAGCGGCGAAAGCGTTAATACACACAGTGATATAGGTAGAATTTTTTATAACTTCCAAGCAAAAAGGGAGACCTACATTAAACTGTATAGTTTCCTTTCAGACCTACTGTAACCATCCAGTGAGTTCACCTTGCCCACTGCCTGGATAAAGCCAATTTATCAAGACAGGGGAATTACAATGGATAAAGTATAATTCTCGCAGCTAGCTATGTGGGAGACTGGAGTTTTCTTATTACTCAAATCAACCTCCCCAAGGATTTGGCGATCAGAGTTTTTAAAGATAATTTGGTGGATGGGGGCTTGGGAAGTGGGGAGTGCTGATTGGTCAGGTTGGAGTTGGAATCATAAGGGGTTGAAGTGACATTTTTCTTGCCATCTTCTGTTTTTGGCTGGGATGGCAGAACTGGTTGAGCCAGATTACCAGTCTGGGTAGTGTCAGCTGATCCATCCAGTGAAAGTTCTGCAAAATTTCTCAAGCACTGATCTTAGGTTATACAATAGTGATGTTATCCCCAGGAGCAATCTGGGGAGTTTCAGACTCTTGGAGACAGAGGTTGCATGACCCCTAAACTGTAATTTCTAATCCTGTAGCTAATTGTTAGTCCTGCAAAGACAGACTGGTCTCCAGCCAAGAAGGAAGTCTTTTAAGGAGAAGGCTAATTAATAAATATCAGTTTTGTTTCAGAGTTAAACCATGAACCGAATTTCTTCCCAAATTTAGTTTGGCCTGCACCCAGGAATGAACAAGGACAGCTTAAAGGTTAGAAGCAAGATGGAGAAGTTGCTTGGGTCTGATCTCCTTTACTGTAATACTTTTCTCAGTTATAATTTTTACAGAGGCTGTTCCAATTCCTCCCTTTGAGTTTCCTAGCACCTTACTCTTGAAATGGGGCCTATGAAGATGGGAAAAGGCCATCGATCACTCTGGCTTCCTCCTGCTGATGGGGGCATAGTGGGGTAGGTGTTGACCCAAGGTGAGAGGAGTGGAACCACTTCGAGCTATTTGACTTTACTCAAGCAGGCCAGGCAGGGGTTCCAAGGCTTTCATGACAACACGTTAGTATTCTCATCTCTAGTTTTAGTACAGCATTTAAGCAGACAGTGCTTAAGGTAAATAATGAGTTTTAGGATAAGGAGTGCAATTCTCAGTTTTAAAAGTAAAGATGTGAAAGCGTTAGTTTGGGGACTTGGAGTCCACCAAAATTAGGATTTAGTTTAAATTGAAGAAAAAGAAAAATAAAAATTCAAAAACAACTAATAACAGGTATACTAAAGCTTTTGGAACATAATTTTTCTCTTTCCAGTCCTTATTTTTATTAAAAACAAATAAGACTCATTTGTTTACAAAATGAACTTTAATTTTATTATACTTGGCCTGATTATTTGCATAAAGTACAGCAAGAATAATTATTTTTTACATAGGCTTTTTAAATTGGCTTTGATGAAACTATGTTCCATAAGGAATCTCAGATACAACTTTTTTAAAGCCAAGCCCAGTCATGGGTTTGTACCCTCAAATACCTATGAGTTGGGTAAATTTCTCTCCTCTCGAGGTCCCAAGGTAACTTAAGGCTCCTGGGGCTGTCAGAAAGTGACAGTCTTTACTTACCACAGGTCAGGAACACTGTATAGAGGGACTATGTAAGGCAAGGTCTGAGGCAATTTTTCCTAAGGTGTTTTATTGGCTTTGCAAGTCAAGTTTGATTTCTTAAAGGAAATCGTGCTATTCCAGTCAAAGCCTTGGTAAAATAACCTGTGTCCTGTTCAAAAGAAAACATACTTACTGCACTTATGCAAATAACTCTATTATTGCCACAAGTTAAGAATACTTACAAATAGTTTTTAAATTCTGGAGAAATTAGGTAGAGAGAAACAAATGTGCTCTAAATTTCGTTCACAGGAGTATACTTTTCTCAATTATTAAAAGCTGGAAATAGCTCAAAAAAAAGGATCAGCAACACTTTAAGCAACAAAAAATTGAAAAAAATTTACTTCAATTTTCTGTTAGTTCAGTCCATTTAGTTAACTCCTGTTCTGCTGGATATTCATAAAAATTTTAGCTCTCCATGAGAGTCCTGAAAGTTTTTTTCCTTTTTTCTAATGTCATATCTCCAAAGTTATTAGAAACTTGCATTCAAGAGCACCCATTAAAGTTGTATAACTGATTATAAAGCCATCTTCTAAAGAGGACCAAATCAACACAACAATTGTCTATAGATGACAGAAACATTTTAGGGAAGCCACAGTCAAAGACACATTGACAAGGAAATTTGTTACCTCTGTGGCATACAATAATTCAACATAACAATTATAATGATTACTGACGACATACATTGAGGCATATCAGAATTATAGGAATCTTACACAATTTTGTAACACATACTAATAATGAATTTATATGAATATAACCAAAAGAAAGGTAAATACCATTTTATATTTGACAGTGTTTTCTGCAAGATTTTAATACATTAAATAAACTGAATATGTGTCATAGTCTGGATTATAATGTCTGTATGTAAAGACAATTCATTGAATATTGGCTTTGATGGTTTTTTATAGACCATCTTTTAAACTGTTTTTCTTCCTAAGGATTTCTTTTAAACTTGGCCATTTCCCAAGACCCTTGTTTAAGAAGAATCATGACAGTCATGCTTATCTGGGGTATTCTAGTGTGTCCTGCTTTGACCCATCCTAAGCACTGGCTGTGATTCACTGAGTTCAGTGAGGGATTAATTATTGTTCCCAATATGTTTTTAGGTTTGCCATCCTGACAGTGAAATATGGAATTTTCATAGGTATATCACCAGCACTCCCTACTTCTCTTTTGTGGAAGTCAGTGGTGCTGTTATGATATAGATGTACCTTTAGATCCCCTCAGTAGTTCTGCTTGATTTTTATTCTCAGCTGACCAAGAGCATGTTGTCAGGCATTTAGGATTAAAATGCCCTCTTTTCCCATTAGATCATAATAATAGATATAACCAGTGGATCTATATTTAAGTGTGGATCCACAGATAGATAATTCTTTTGGATAGTGGTCACCTAGAGTTAGGAATGAGTAGATTTGTAGTTTAGAGGAGTTGACTTTTAGCCTTAGCTCTTCTTGATTAGCTTTATGGTCTTTCAAGCTAATGACTCTGAGCTTTCAGTACCTTCTTTTTCTTTTGCTTTTTTTTTTTTTTTTGAGACGGAGTTTCGCTCTTGTTACCCAGGCTGGAGTGCAATGGCTCACCGCAACCTCTGCCTCCTGGGTTCAGCCATTTCTCCTGCCTCAGCCTCCCGAGTAGCTGGGATTATAGGCATGTGCTACCATGCCCAGCTAATTTTTTGTATTTGTAGTAGAGACGGGGTTTCACCATGTTGACCAGGATGGTCTCGATCTCTTAACCTCGTGATCCACCCGCCTCGGCCTCCCAAAGTGCTGGGATTACAGGCTTGAGCCACCGCGCCCAGCCCAGTACTTTCTAAAACGTCTCTAGAATGGACATAATAATATTTCCCTTGAGACCGGGCACAGTGGCTCACACTTGTATCCCAGTACTTTGGGAGGACAAGGCAGGAGGATTCCTTGAGTCCAGGAGATTGAGACCAGACGGGCAACATAGGGAGACCTATTTTTACAAAAATAAAAATAAATATTAGCAAGGTGTGGTGGCACGTACCTGTAGTCTCAGATACTTGGGAGGCTAAGAGGGAAGGATCACTTGACCCTGGGAGGTCAAGGCTGCAGTGAGCCAAGATTGTGCCACTGTACTCCAGCCTGGGCAACAGAGCAAGACCCTGTCTCAAAAAATAGTAATAATAAAATAAATACCTCTAAAGATTAGCAATAAAATGTGTAAAATACCAAGCCTACTATAAAATAGATGCTACATAATTACAGCTGTTATTGTTGTAA